ATAGGTGACTTTTGTGGCGGGGAGGGCATTCTCCTGTCGTTCACGCTTCCGACCTCCCCGCAGAAGAATGGGGTTGCTGAGCGCCGCATTGGCTTAGTCATGGAGGTAGCTCGTACCTCCGTGATCCATGCGGCTGCTCCCCATTTTATGTGGCCGTTTGCGGTTCGGTACGCTGCGCATCAGCTCAACCTCTGGCCCCGTGTCTCCTTGCCAGAGACCTCGCCTACACTGCGTTGGACGGGGAAGGTTGGCGATGCGTCGGTGTTCCGGGTCTGGGGCTCTCGTGCCTTTGTTCACGATACGTCCGCGCCTGGCTGGCAGTTTTACCACCCCACCTCGCGCTGTGTCCTGCCCTCTCAGGATGTCACGTTTGACGAGTCGGTTCTCTTTTACCGCCTTTTCCTGTACTGCACTGCCCCTCTCCCCCCCCCCGCCGCTCTTCCTCGCTCCAGGTCCCCCTCCGGTAGACCCCCTCCCCCCTCAGGGTCCTGCTCCCTCAGGTGTGTCTCAGGTAGACCCACTCCCCCAAGCTGAGCCTGTCGAGGTCGCTGTAGACTCAGCTGCTGCTAGAGGTGCTGCGTCTGGGGGTGCTGCGTCAGGGGGTGCTGAGCCTGCGAGTGCGGAGCGTGGGGGTGCTGAGCCAAAGGGTGCGGAGCCTGGGGGTGCTGAGTCTAAGGGTGCGGAGTCTGGGGGTGCTGAGCCTGAGGGTGCGAAGCCTGGGGGTACTGAGCCTGAGGGTGCGGAGCATGGGATTGCTGAGTCTGAGGGTGCAGATTCTGGGGGTGCTGAGCCTAGGGGTACTGCGTCTGCCGGAGGTCCTGCGGGTGCCTCGCCACGACTGTCTCACAGGCGAGAGCCTCTCTCACCGCAGCAGCTGCGCGAGTGGTTTGCTCAGCGCACACGTGTTAGGAGTGGCGCTGCAGGAGCTGGAGGCTCTGCCGCTGGAGGCACTGGAGCTGGAGGTGCTGGAGGTACTAGTCCTGGAGGTGCTGGAGTTACTAATGGAGCTGAATGTACCGGAGGTGCTAGAGCTCCTGGTCCCTGAGGTGCTCGTACTAGTGGTACCGGAGCTGCCGGAGCTGGTGGTGTTGGAGACAGTGGAGCTGGAGACCCTGGAGCTGGAGGCACTGGCGCTGGAGGAGCTGGAGCTGGAGGCACTGGAGCTGGAGGTGCTGGAGCTTCTAGTCCTGGAGGTGCTAGAGTTATTGCTTGAGCTAGAGGAATCGGAGGTGCTGGAGCTGCTGGTCCTGGAGGTGCTCGTAGTAGAGGTACTGGAGCTGCCGGAGCTGGCGGTGTTGGAGGCGCTGGAGCTGGAGACCCTGGAGCTAGAGGCTCTGGTGCTGGAGGTGCTGGAGTTGGAGGAGCTAGAGCTGGAGGCACTGGAGCTAGAGGCACTGGAGCTGGAGGCGCTGGCGCTGGAGGCGCTGGAGCTGGAGACACTGGATCTAGAGGTGCTGGCGCTAGGGGTGCTGGAGCTGGCGGTCCTGGTGCTGGAGGCACTGTGCAGCGGCGTTCGTTTCTCAATCCGCTGCCGTCGTCGTCTCTGCCGCCACCTGACTCGGTCCTTCGCTAGGTTCTTAGTCTCCCGTGTTCTACTGGCTTTACTCCTTGCTTACTGAGTCCATCGCCTCACCAGTCGCAGCCACAGTTACAGCCAGACTCCCCACTGCCTGCTCCTTCTCCTTACGCTAAGCAGACAGACTCTCTTACAGAGCGTCGTGAGCCTGCGTCTCGTCCTGCCTCACCTGTTCGCACTGGTCGTCGTGTTCCTCGTCCGGTCCTCCTCCTGTCCCCGACACTCACATTATGGCACTTCGTCCTTCCTCTGTTCCACTGCGATTTCCCTTGCCGTCTCCTCCTGCGTCCTCTCTTCCTGACGTTCCTGACCCTGAGTCTGACTTAGCTCGTGCTGCCAGTCCTACTGTCCCACGTCTTCTAGCCACTTTTTCACTGACCCTGAGTCTGACTTAGCTCGGGTTCTGCTGCACGTTGCCGCTCAGCGTGACTACGAGCTGCACTCTCTTGACTTCAGCACAGCTTTCTTAGAGGGCAGCCTGCACGAGGAGATCTGGCTGCGCCACCCACCTGGCTTCACTGGGTCGTTTTTTGCAGGTACCCAGTGGAGCCTCTGGCAGCCAGTCTACGGTCTCCGCCAGGCGCCTCGCGAGTGGCACGACACACTGAGGACGACGCTTGCGGCTCTTGGGTTTGCTCCTTCGACTGCTGACCCGTCGCTGTTTCTGCGCACCGAAACTTCGCTGCCGCCGTTCAACATTCTTGTGTACACCGACACTTCGCTGCTGCCGTCGACGACTTGGTCTTTGCCACTGCTGACACTGAGGCACTGGCCCTTGTGAAGTCGGAGCTGCAGAAGAGACACACCTGCACTGACCAGGGTGAGCTGCGCAGATATCTTGGCTTGCAGATCACCCGGGACAGAGCACGGTGCACCATCACCCTAACTCAGTTACACATGGTGCACCAGGTCCTTCAGCGCTTCGGCTTCCGGTACTCCTCGCCACAGTCCACTCCTCTGCCCACCGATCACTCGCTCTCAGCTCCACCTTCGGACGAGTCCGTAGAGTTGAGTGGCCCGTATCCAGAGCTTGTGGGTTGCCTCATGTACCTGATGACCTGACCCTCTTAGCATCATGGCACGCTACGTTGCGCCTGGGAGACACCGACTAGAGCACTGGGAGGCTGCTAAGAGGGTGTTGCGCTACTTGTGCAGTACGTCGGGCATGGGGCTCGTGCTTGGAGGACGGGGTCCAGTTGTCCTCACTAGACACGCAGACGCTTCTTGGGTTGACGACTTGGCTACGCACCGGTCGTCACAGGGTTACACTTTCAGCCTTGGTTCCGGCTCTGTTTCTTGGCGGTCTACCCGCTCGTCTTCTGTTGTCAGTTCCAGTTGTGAGGCTGAGATCTACGCAGGTGCCATGGCTGCACAGGAGTTACGCTGGCTCACCTATCTGCTGACCGACTTGGGAGAGCGGTCTCGTTCTTCTCCAGTTTTGTACGTACACAACAAGGCCATGAATGCCTTGTGTCAGGAGCACAGAATGGAGCACAGAACGAAACACATCGCTCTGCGTTACTTCCTTGCTCGAGAGTTGCAGTAGCGTGGTCAGCTTCATCTTGCTTACGTGGCCACTAGGGCCAACACTGCTGATATATTCACCAAGGCAATTCAGTCTGGTGATCAACAGCGGTTCTGTACTGTTTTAGGCCTTGTGCCTACTTTGCCTCACTTGCTCACTGCGTGACTTTGCTTGTACTGTGATATATATACATATACTTGCATGCTTACAGTTGCTAGGGTATGATCACTGTACTGTTTGTTCTCTTTTATATAATTATGCATGTGAACTGGCCTTGTGGCCATTTGCTTGTGCTCGAAATGTGTGGTGACTTCGTGATCCACCCTGAGCTGGCTTTGATTTTCTTGACTGGTTTTGTGACCACTTGTTCTCCCCCACTTTGCATATAGGGGTGTGTCAAAATGTTGTAGTGATTACTTTATGTAGGCTATAGTGGGGGTAGCCCATAAGGGGTACAACCCAATGCATTCATTTTTTGTTCAGTATTCTGACAGTTTTCTACCCCTGCTGTTCGCTGGGCTGGGATGACTTGACCGGCCCTTCGGTCCCCGTTTTCTACTGGCCGTCTTCTCTCGCTTCCTCCCGTTGTTTCTCCCACTAGGTGTCTTCACTAGATGCCTTCTGCTTGGCGTCTTCACTAGCTGCCTCCCACTTGGTGCCTTCCCTCGCTGTCCCCCACTTGGCGTCTTTTCAAGCGGCTTCCCGTTTCTCGTCTTGTCTCGCTGCCTTCTATACGGATTGCTTGCGAGCCGCTTCTCCCGCATGATGCGGGCCTCGTCTCCCCTTGCGTGCTTCTCTGCAATGGCAGCCACTCGCTCTGCCTCATTGGGCCATTTCTGGACGAATCAAAAGGCAGAAAGGGGAATCGGCCAAGTTAGTGAGTCGAAGCAGGTAAGCTGCATGTATTCAGAATAACCAATGACAGCCACTCGCTCCCCCTCGTTGGGCCAATTCTGGAGAGATTGAAGGCAGCAACGGGAACAAGGTAGGACCGTGAATGGAAGCAAGGTTACAGCAAGCATCAGGGCAGCCAATGGCAGCCACTCGCTCCGCCTCATTGGGCCATTTATGGACAAATAGACGGCAGCAACGGGAACAAGCCAGGGCAGTGAGTGGAAGCAGGCTTGTGGCGTGTAATCAGAATAGTCAATGGCAGCAATTCGCTCCGCATCATTGGGCCATTTCTGGACAGATCAAGTCAGCAACAGGAACAAGCTAGGATGGTGAGTAGAAGCGGGTTACAGCATGTAATCAGAACAGCCAACGACAGCCACTCGCTCCGCCTCTTTGGGCCATATTTGGATGAATGGAGGGCAGCAAAGGGAACAAGCCAGGACAGTGAGTGAAAGCAGGGTTGCAAGATTTAATCGAGACAGCCAATGACAACCACTCGATCCGTCTCATTGGGCCATTTCTGGACGAATGGAGGGCAGCAACGGGAACGAGCCAAGGCATTGAGGGGACAGGCAGTGAAAGAGGCAGCACTGTGATCGGAGGCAGGGCTGTGGCATCCAATCAGGACAGTCTGGCAGCAGCAACTTACTTTGTCTGATTGGGTCATTTCATGCTGCATGGAAACGGAAAGTGAGAGCTAGGCGAGAGGCAGGTTGGGATAATCATAAAGTAACTGCCAATCTGAAGTGCTGCTGGCTTTTGAGGCGCCTCGAAAGGAGCTGCTGGAGAGCAGCTCATTGAATGAAGTAATGCACCTTGCATATGCACGTTTTCCAGCAGCACCTTGAATGAGGTGCTGCTGGAGACAGACCAGCTCATTGAAAACAGCCCGTTTTCCCCTACCAGCCTCCTACTGTTCGAAGAACACGCATGCACACTTGTGAAACCAAATCCCTTCCTAATCAAATTACATGCATGTGTTGAAATTTGACAAAACGAATATACCTGTCGGAATGTCTTGTGTCTGTACAGTACCCTCCCCTTTACAAGAAGCTGCATCATTAGAGCCAGCGCATGTAGACCAGAGCTCCAAAAAACCTCCACCTGAAAGAATGTTCGCACGAATCAGAGCACCATTGGCATAAGAGTAGTGGAGTGAACAATGGGCTGTAATAAGCATTTTACGTAATGACAAAAGCACGGGGTTTTAAATAGTCGACTGCAAGTTGCCTTGCCAGTAATAAAGGGGGAAGCATGTGCTTACGGTGAAAGTGTGTTGCTGCTTCTTCACACCGTAGCTCTCACTGACCACTCTCCCTGCCACCAACCGAAACTCTCCATGCATTGCCTTCTTCTCGTGCCTGCATTTGTCATCAATTGCCATCAGCTGCTATCATTGGCCATCAATTGTGGCCCATGCGGGCACAGAGAAGTCATGAGTAGCAATGAAGATGAAGTAGCAGTCAGAGCAGTCATAAGTGAGGAAAATGAGACGATGAGAGGAGATGAGACGATGAGAGGAGATGATACGACGCAGAAAAAGAGGCGAGACGTGTGGTCAACATTGAGACAGACCTGAGACCGACTTCGAGTTGCGACCGACCTTGAGACTGACCTTGAGACCGACCTTGAGACCGACCTTGAGATCGACCGTGTGGAAATTCGTTGATTAAACAGAACGACGTCATTTCTGCAGACGTCACCTGAAGCATTATCATGGTGAAACGGAAAAAACGGGAGTTAGAACTTCTGTAAGGCTCTAGGATGATGGTGCCAAGGGTTGTGAATAATAGCACATGTTCAGCGTACCATGAATGCAGGAGTTATCTGGAATATGGACCAGGTTTTAAGAGCATAGAAGAAACCTATATATCAGTCACCTGTACAATTAATGAAGAAGGACGCGTGTGGGTACTGGCGCTTGGCTGAACGTCCTTGAGCCTGTCCAGGAGCGAGAAAGATAACGAAGGAATTTTGACTGTATTTCAGCACGGATTGCGAATTTTGACTGTCCAGTATCACATGGGACACATGATGGGCTCTCCTAACTTTTCACGCTTGCATTGCAGATCCCCCCACGCATTGCGAATCCCTAAAGCACAACACTCTAGCCCGTTCAGCTGAACAGAAGGACGTTCGACAACTCAAGTCGGACTTACTCGTAATGCTTCTGAATGCGAGTGATCAGATCCGCCGTCGAGTCGCTCAGCCGCAGACGGTGGTACCGCAGATAGGCCTTGCAGAGCTCGCTGGTCAGCTTGCTCCACTCCCCCGCTGCAGTGCGAATCAAAGATGCAAATGGGATTACATAATAAAATAATAAGGAATACACTTCAACTGGAAGGTAAAGGGTAAAAGGCAATCTGGATAAAAGGGTATAAGGTAGTGTTGGGGAAGTACCTCGAATCAAGGATAACGCCTTTGCGTACGGATATTTCGAGCCAGCAGGCTCTGGCAACTTGAAGTGGCTTCTCGTTCTCATCCTACTTTCCGTTTTGCTGTCCGTTGACTTTCCGTCATCGTCCACCTCCGACGACTTGTCATCGACATTGTCCCCACTATCGCCGTTACTATCGGCATCGTTGTCACTATCGCAGTTAGTATCGCCGTTACTACTATCGGCATCGCTGTCGAGATCCCTATCGCTAAGACTATCACTATCCTTACTACTATCGCTGTAGCTGTCGTTATTCCTACTATCGCTGACACATTCTAAGTCGATGTCACTTAGCGTTTCGTACTCGTCATCACTGAGCGAAATAGCTGTGCATGCTGACCCGCCTTTCGCCATGCGACAACCCTACCAATGGTTATGCAGGCGTCTAAAAAGAAAAAAAATGCCAATAAAAACAATACCTAAAACTTCGCCTAAGAGAAAACCAAGTCTAGTTGCTGAACGACATCAAACATGAAGCATAGAAACGCCGTTATAAGGAAACGTTTACTCGGGCGATCCTACATGCGCGCTCCCTCGATCGTCGACGCAAACTAGCTTTCTCGACTATCGAGCTCGCGAGATGCTATGATGGCAGTCAGTCTCTTCACTCATTGCCGTTCGATATGCCAGACTTTACGAGCTACAGTACCGTACCGTACCGCACAGCTCCGTGCCGTGACACATCCGTAAGGCGTGCCACTGATGCTCACAAATCACTATCGCGAATGTCGCGAACAGCTCGCACTGGCGGAAGTTTAAAATTAACCAATCCCGACAGTGCTGAATGTTACGGAGCTGTTATGAAGTTGATCAATACCTGTTACAGCATCGATACAAATTGCACTTCCATTCCCCAAACAGCCAGGCACCTACTAGCAACCCACCTACATTCAAATAACACAAAAACCCACCCATCATGGCTCTACTGTGGCGCAATACAACCACGGCCGCTCGTCACTTCTTCTGCCCGCTCGCGGCGCTCGCCAGCTGGCGCAGGTTTATCGGCACGACAGATTCCTTTCCGCCCAGGAAAATGCCCTTGGCCAGCTCACGATTGAAGGCCTCAGTGGGATGCAGGCGGTCCCAGAAGATGCTGTCCTGGGGGCGGCTGCACTCCGTCGCTGTTACCTTGTAACCACCCACGGTGTCAGTTTTGCCGCACTGCACAAGGCCGTTGAGGGGAGGCGGGCCGCCGCAGCATGCGCTGGTTCCGAAAAGGCCAACCGTGGCAGGATCGGCAACAGCGTTCTCCAAAAAGGAGTACGTCTTCGCGAGCAGAATATTCGAGCCTTTGAGAGTCTTTTGCAGCCCAGCAATAGCAACAGCCAGCTGCTTGTTATGCTCCTGGGCATACGCGTTGATCTCGCTCACGCACTCCCCCTGCTTCTCCGCCGGCTGCAGCGCCTGTCGCCACAGCGGCAGGCAGCCGAGGGGGGGAATTTCAAACAGCAAGAACCGCCGCGCTCCGCGGCTGTATAGACCCCCCACGTAGGACATCAAATAAGCCACCACAGTCGAAGCAAACGCCTGCATTTGATTCGCGCCTCCCGCAGTGATCCTCGGGAGCGTCGTCTCATCGATCTTCTCCCCGAAAAAAATAACAAAGTAGTCGTTGGATCCGAGCCCGACGACGTAAAGCGCGGTGGAGAAGACGGAGGGAGGGGGCAGGCTCGCGTCAGCGCCAGCGGCTTTCATGGAGTCCGTCTGGATCTTGTCGAACCAGTCGAGCTGCTCCGACGCCTGGAATGCGGGGAAGGTCTGGTGGAGAGGAAAGGTGGGGAGAAGGGCGGCAGGAGAGAGAGGGAGTGGTTAATGGGAAGTCCTCTGCGAGGACTGTTCGATGGACCTCTGTCTGAGTCGATGTAAACGTCTAAACCCTAAACGAGACGCACGATGCAGCTTTAGATGCCGGGACACTCACGAATCCCGTAACGTTGAACGACGCTCCGACGCTGGCGAAGTTGACTCCGAACGTAGCGTTCCTCTTCGGATCCAGGTACGGCGGAGGCGACGCGGGGAAGCCCATCCACTCGGCTGCGGAAGAGCAGGTGGGGAAGCAATGGCAGTGGAGGGAAGCATTGGTACGCGGATGTTTTCCAGAGGATTAGGGAGAGAAAACAATGGTACGGCGACACGTGTCTTACTAGAGAAGCAGGCGGAATTAAAACGGCTGTTGTTTCAGAGTAACAGGAAATGTATTTGTTCGGTGCGACGCGAAGCGAACAACCTGCTCGAACTCCGAGAAATTGGTTGCCTAGGAGCGACGCTTATACCGAGGAAGTCGATAGTGAGCTTGCCGTCGCACACGCGACCCGACTGCGGGACGAAGTTCTTTCCGTACGGCGGGATGTTGAACTGAAGCACTGACTTGCCGCCATAGTTGTTGTTTCCCACGTCCTGAAGCGAATCGCCAAAAACGAAAATCGCGTCGATCGGCCCGGTTGACTTCGAGGCAGGCGCCTGAGGCGGCGGCTTAGTAGGAGGCGATCTCCGCCGGCGCGCTTCCGCACTGAGCAGAGATTCTCCGAGAAACAGTAGCGCGGCGAGACAAAGGAGGCGCGACGCGATCCCCATCGTGGCGCGCGCGAAGAACAAGAATGGCTAGTGCAATAGACGGACGAAAGAAGGTGCAGTATGGCGTACTAGAAGCGGTGCTTGTGCGGTGCTCGAAACACAGGAGGTTGTAACTGAATGAGATGAGACGGAATGACAGTAGTGGCTGGTGTGATGAACTGAGGTGTTGGGGTGGGTATAAATGTTGAATCTCTCGATGCGGAGCAGAAGTGCCGGAGGGAAATGCGCGCCCCGAAACGCGTTGCTCCAAGCAGCGCGTTGTGGAGTGCAGAAAATCGAATGGGTACTCTTTTGTTTTAATTTCTAGGCTGTATCTCCATAACTTCTCTGTAAATTTAGGTGTCTATAAATCAGCCCCGGATAATCGGGCGCCTTCAGCTCCCATGCTCACCCAGATTCCTCATGGAGCTCTGGATATCAACACTCCCGCCGTAAAAGTTCCTCGTGGAAAACATTGGCGGGAAAATGCTCCATCACGTGAAAAAATAACGAACCATCTCGGACCCCGACTTGCAAAGACATGGGAATGGAAAAGGGCGGAATGAGAAGATGGAAGCGTACTTGGTGATGTGTAGGCTCGTGTAAAATCAACTCTGCAACACAGGGTTGTTAGAAACAGCCCAAATCATATCCGGTGCACTTCCCAGAAATCCCGACTTGACCAGGAATCTCACACCTGCCACCAAGCAAAAGGAGAGGTGACTTCAAAAACAAAACAAAATGAAACAAAAGGGGTAGCCACCTTGCATTATGCGCCACCCCAGCAATAAATCAAGTTTAGTTACCAAACGCGTGAATCTAGTTACCAAACGCGTGAAATATCATTGTTATGGTTACCGTGCACGTTATAAATCCCCATGTATGTTACCATTCGCGTATTTTCCCACAAATCAATCTCACAGGGTTCCACAATCAGGTACAGTGAGCACTTGATTACAAGATCAATATGTACGAAAAAACAAAATGAGAGTAGGGCTATGTCATGCCTGTCCCAGCAAATATGCTCGATCGACTGCTACGGTATATGTATCAAGTTTTTTTTTGTGACATCAACCTATTTTACGAGCAGCATGCATGCATGTCGCCAATCTCATCCTTTTACAAGGAAAATGGTTCCAGCAGTCTAGAGCATGCCATCACTCTAAACTCAAAGGTTCAAAGAGACTAGCTGAACCAGGTTCACAGTTGGAACAACAGGGGAGCCAAGATAGAGAACCGGGGGATGAACGGGAGCAACTAGGGAGCTCGGATAAGAAATTGGGGGGAGAACCAAAGTAACGGGGGAGGTTAGGTAGTAATCTGGAGGGTGAAGCAGAACAATAGGGGAGCTGGGACGTGAAGGAGCTGCTGTGTGGTACCAAACATGTGACATTGCAGCTGCCACAACTGGTGATGGTGTTGGTGGTTGGCCAAGGGGACTCAAAGCAACCAGGGAGCTGGGATAGGCAACTGGGGAGTTACTCAAAGCAGAGGCTGAGGTAGCTATTGCTGGTGACCAATACGGCTGCTGCTGCTGGTGCTGCCGGTAGGGCTGATGATGATGCTGTTGGTGGTGCTGCTGGTCGGGCTGCTGATACTGTTGGTACTGTTGCTGTTGCTGCTGGTACAGGAAAGGCTGCTGCTGGTGATGCTGTTGCTGCTGCACCTGCCGACGAGGGGGCGTGCAGTTGACCTAGTGACCAGATCGGTGGTCTCTTCCTTGGAGATCCGGACTCGCGAACCTACTCCTTCCTCTCACGATATCAGCATACAGTGCCGGATGCTGAGTGCTGTGATCCTGATGCTGCTGCTGCGCCTGCTGGTGCTGCTGGTGTGGCTGCTGGTGCTGCTGGTGCCGCTGGTGCCGCTGCTGCTGCTGCTGCTGCTGCTGCTGCTGCTGCTGCTGCTGCTGCTGCTGCTGCTGCTGCTGCTGCTGCTGCTGCTGCTGCTGCTGCTGCTGCTGCTGCTGCTGTTGCTGCTGCTGCTGCTGCTGCTGCTGCTGCTGCTGCTGCTGCTGCTGCTGCTGCTGCTTCTTCTGCTGCTGCTTCTTCTGCTGCTGCTGCAGGGAGGCAAGTGATTTCCGGCTATGCTGCTGCTCCCTCTCCCCTTTACCCAACAGGCCTCGATCTTGACAGGACAGCGCATGTATCCTTAAGCCCTGGAATCTTGCGCGCAGCATGGATGCCACATCCTCCCTCCCCCTCTCTCATAGCACTCGCAACCCCCTCCCCCCTCTTGCTTGCTCCTCTGAGACCTCCCTCAACCCTCCCCCCCTCGCCCCCCCCCCCCCCCCTTGCCAAATAGACCCCGATCTGGACAACACGTGTGGAACCTTGCGCGCAGCATGGATGCCACATCCCCGGCCCCCCTATTCACTGTTCTCACTCTCCCTTCCCTCCTCCTTACATTGCTCGTCTAAGATATACCCCATCTCCCCCCCTCTTTTCCCCTCAGACCCCTATCTGGACAACACGTGGATCTTAAAGCCCTAGAATCCCACGCGCAGCATGGACACCCCATCCTCCCCTCTCCCCCCCCTCCTCTATTTACCGCACTTGCATCCCTCGCCCTTGCGTCCCTCCTTGTGACCATCTCTCATCTTTCCTGGCTTTGAGTCTCCACCCGACAGGCCCCGATCTGGACAACACGTGGATCTTAAAGCCCTGGAATCTTGGACGCAGCATGCAAGCCCCATCCCCGCACCCCCTCTCACCCGCCTGCCTCTCCCCACTCTCTCTACCCAGCAGACCTCGATCTGGACAACACGTGGATCATGAAGCCGTGGAATCTCGCGCGCAGCATGGATGCAACGGTGTCGCGCCACCTGGCGCAGATCGTACGGCTGGCAGAGACCGGCCCCAAGGTGGCCCAGAAGTACATCTCCCGCCCCGCGCTCTTCCACGGCAGAAAGTTCGACCTGCGCCTCCTGCTGCTGCTCAAGAAACTCAAGCCATTGGAGGCGTACATCTCCGATGTGTTCTGGGTGAGTGGCAGTGAATGCCCAGGGTTTCGGTGCATGCCTGCTGGCTGGCTGGTGGTGGTGTGAGGCCCCCTACAGCAAGGCAGAGACTGGGCGTAAGGGGAGGCCAGACTCTGGACAGAGACCGGCCCCAAGGTGGCCCAGAAGTACATCTCCCGCCCCACGCTCTTCCACGGGAGGAATTTCGACCTGCGCCTCCTGCTGCTGCTCCATCGGCTCAAGCCGCTGGAGGCATACCTCTCTGATGTGTTCTGGGTGAGTGAGTCGGGCTCAATGCTGCTTGCTTGCTGCCTGCTGCTTGGTTGGCTGCGGCTCTCTTCCACGGGAGGAAGTTCGACCTGCGCTTCCTGCTGCTGCTCAAGAGGCTGAAACCCTTGGAGGCATACCTATCGGACGTTTTCTTCTGGGTGAGTGGGTCAGGTGGGTTGCTGCTTGCTTGCTGCCTGTTGACTGTTGGCTGCGGTGCTCTTCCACGGGAGGAAGTTCGACCTGCGCTTCCTGCTGCTGCTCAAACGGCTCAAACCCCTCGAGGCATATTTGTCGGACGTGTTATGGGTGAGTGGTTTGATTGACTGCCGCTGGGGGCGTATTAATTGGATGTGTTATGGGTGAGTGAGTCCGGTGAAATGCTGCATGCTGCTTGGTTGATTGCTGCGCTCTTCACGTTCATTGTCTCACCAGGTGTATCAGCAAGCAGAGAACTCCCTTTTAGACTTTCGACTTCTGAAGCTGCTCAATGTTCTCAATCAGCACCTACCATTCCTTGCATGCTTCCATGAATCACCCCGCCTTGCTTGCACCCACCAGGCGCGCATCACCGACAAAGAATATTCCCAAGCAGAGGACTCGCTGTCAGGCTTTAGATCTCTGAAGAGGCTAGAAAGTCTTACCATACACCCCCTCCCCCTCACATGATTCCATGTGTCGCCCTCCTACCATGCACCATCAGGCACGCATCACCAACAAGGCGCACTCCCAAGCAGAGGAATCCCTTTCAGACTTGTAACTGCTGAAGCGGCTCAAAAGACTCGCCCTGCGCTTCCTGTGCCGCGCATGCTTCAAGTGTGTCACCCCTCCTCCCATGCACCTCCAGGCGCGAATCGCCAACAAGGCATACTCTCAAGCAAAGGACTCCCTGTCAGACTTCCAGACACACTTCACTGTCATGGTATGGTGTAGTGCGGTGTGGTGTGGTGCTGCTATATGCATGGCACATCATGGTGTGGTGTGGTGCTGCTATATGCATGGCACATCCTGGTGTGGTGTGGTGCTGCTATATGCATGGCACATCCTGGTGTGGTGTGGTGCTGCTATATGCATGGCACATCCTGGTGTGGTGTGGTGCTGCTATATGCATGGCACATCCTGGTGTGGTGTGGTGCTGCTATATGCATGGCACATCCTGGTGTGGTGTGGTGCTGCTATATGCATGGCACATCCTGGTGTGGTGTGGTGCTGCTATATGCATGGCACATCCTGGTGTGGTGTGGTGCTGCTATATGCATGGCACATCCTGGTGTGGTGTGGTGCTGCTATATGCATGGCACATCCTGGTGTGGTGTGGTGCTGCTATATGCATGGCACATCCTGGTGTGGTGTGGTGCTGCTATATGCATGGCACATCCTGGTGTGGTGTGGTGCTGCTATATGCATGGCACATCCTGGTGTGGTGTGGTGCTGCTATATGCATGGCACATCCTGGTGTGGTGTGGTGCTGCTATATGCATGGCACATCCTGGTGTGGTGTGGTGCTGCTATATGCATGGCACATCCTGGTGTGGTGTGGTGCTGCTATATGCATGGCACACCATGGTGTGCTGTGGTGCTGCTATATGCATGGCACATCAGGGTGTGGTGTGGTGCTGCTATATGCATGGCACATCCTGGTGTGGTGTGGTGCTGCTATATGCATGGCACATCATGGTGTGGTGTGGTGCTGCTATATGCATGGCACATCAGGGTGTGGTGTGTGAAAGAAACTAGGAGCTTTAGAAACTTGAGGAAGAATGATTGACATTAGCTCAAGAGAGCACAAGGTTATACAAGGAAGAGAAGGTTGAAGGAGAAATGTTGGGTTGACCATAGGTTGGGTTGGCCTCACTTTGGGAAGTGAGGGAACCTAAGGTCAAGTGGGTTGCATTTGGGGGCTCCACCACAATTGGGTTGGATTGGCACCCCACAATGCAAGACTACACCCAAAGTTGGGTGTAGTCCCAACCCAACTGTACACCACAATTGGTGTACAGTCACAAGTGTTAGCATGCTAGAACATACAATCCAAACACAACTCCTTAGCATGCTAACACAGGAAGAGAACAACCCCTCAATGAAGGGGCGCCCAGGCAAGCAAGGCCAATGAGACGGAGGAGAGCAGAGTTCGCAGGGCGAAGGAGGGCCTTGGTGAAGATGTCGGCTAAGTTGGCCTCTGCCGCAATCTTCCAAACAGCAATGGGGCCCTTCTGGACGAGCTCACGGATGAAGAAGTAGCGGAGCTCGATGTGCTTGGAGCGGGCGTGATAGACGGGATCATGAGTGAGGTGGATGGTGCTGGCGTTGTCACACCAGAGAGTGGGGCAGGGCTGTGGGGCGCCAAGTTATGCAAGAAGAATGCAGAGCCAGCGCGACTCTTGGGCGGCCATGGTGCCAGTGTAGAGCTCGGCCTCGCAGGTGGAGAGAGAAATGGCGGAGGAGCGGGTGGAGCGCCAGCTGATAAGGCTGCTGCCAAGGGTGAAACCGTAGCCCTGGGAGGAGCGGCGGTCCGGCTGCGAGTCTGCCCATGAGGAATCATTGAAGCCCGAGAGGAGAGGAGGGGAGGGGCCGCCAAGGGTGAGGACATGGTCCTTGGTCCCACGAAGGTAGCGGAGGACCCGCTTAGCAGCTTTCCAGTGTTCCTCAGTGTGACGACCGGTGCCAACGAAGCGTGCGAGCACGCTGATGGGGTGGGGGAAGAGGTGGAGGGGGAGGAGGAGGTGGATGGAGTAGAGGAGGAGGATACCGGAGGAAGAGGGGGAGGGGGAGGGAGAAGGGGACCGGTGGAAGTTCCAGCACGAGTGGTGACATGACAGAAAGAGGGACGGGGTGTGCGGAGCATGTAAAGGCGAGTGCGAGGGCAAAGGGGAATGCGCAGGACGAAGCGACCAGAGGTGGTGTGGTAGAGATCACTGTAGGAAGCAAAGCCAGGGTAAATGGCGGTAATACCAATGCATTGGAGCTCACGGTGGGAGAGGAGGTTATTGCGAAGGGTAGGGATGTGGAGACCTGTGACTGTACCAGATGGGAAAGCGGTGCAAGGAAGGGTGGAGAGGTGAGTGCAGGGGATGGAAAAGCTGGAGTCGGCACCATGAACTTGGGTGGAAAGTGGGAGAGGGGTGAGGGTGCCAGCATCTTTCAGTGCAGTTTCAGTGACCCCACTGTCAAGGACAAAGTCCAGGGTGGGGGAGGAAGGAGAGGGAGGTGACACAGAGTACTGGAGAGACGTCTCACGGATAGAAGAGGGATACAGTGGCGGGTGCTGCTGCTGGAAGTACTGCTGCTGCCGCGGCTGCTGCGGCGGGAGAGACTGTGGCGGTTGCGGTTGGAGAAATTGTGGCTGCTGCTGCTGCTGCGGCTGCTGAGGTTGGAGAACTTTTGGCTGCTGCTGCTGTTGGAAGTACTGCTGCTGCGGCTGCTGCTGCGGCTGGAGGAACTGTGGGGGGTGCGGCTGGAGAAATTGTGGCTGCTGCCGCTGCTGGAAGCACTGCTGCTGCTGCGGCTGCTGAGGTTGGAGAACTTTTGGCTGCTGCTGTTGTTGGAAGTACTGCTGTTGTGGCAGCTGCTGCGGCTGGAGGAACTGTGGGGGGTGCGGCTGGAGAAATTGTGGCTGCTGCCGCTGCTGGAAGCACTGCTGCTGCTGGAGCTGCTGGAAACGCTGCAGCTGGGGAGGGGGGAAGGGGGTGAGCAGGCGGAGGTGAGCAGGGAGGAAGGAGGGGAGGGTCGGAATGTTCAGGAGGGAGGGGCGAGGGGTAACACTGTTCCAGCGAGGGGGGGGGAGAGGGGCAGGGGGGGCAGCAGCCATGATGGGCGTCGGCGGGTGGACCCGCGGCGGCCAAGGGTGAAGGGTGAAGTTGCTGCTGCTAAGGCTGCTGCACTTCCCCTACTGCCGCTGCTGCTGCCGCTGGCAGGAGGGAGGGAGAGGGGTAAATGAGGAGGGAGATGGCAGTGGAGGGCAGTGGTGTTCAAGGTGCAGGGAGCGGCGGGGTGCAGGTGGCGACGGCGGTGACAAGGGCGCAGGCGGTGACAAGGGCGCAGGCGGTGACAAGGGCGCATGCGGTGACAAGGGTGCAGGCGGTGACAAGGGCGCAGGCGGTGACAAGGGCGCAGGCGGTGACAAGGGCGCAGGCGGTGACAAGGGCGCCGGCGGTGACAAGGGCGCAGGCGGTGACAAGGGCGCATGCGGTGACAAGGGCGCAGGCGGTGACAAGGGCGCAGGCGGTGACAAGGGCGCAGGCGGTGACAAGGGCGCAGGCGGTGACAAGGGCGCAGGCGGCTGCGCGAACGTGCGGCGGCGGGAAGGTGAGGCGGTGGCAAAGTCGAGGGCGGCGGTGGTGAGCAGGCCGCAACGGCGAAAAGGTGCCGGCGACGGCGAAATGGCCGCGGCGGCGAAAAAAAACAAAAAAAAAAAAGGGGGGGGGGGGGGGAGAGGGGGGAAGGGAGAGTGCAGTTGCTGTTGCTGCTGCTGCCGCTGCTGCTGCTGCTGCTGAGGAGGGGGAGAGGGAGAGGAGGAGGTAGAGGGGGAAGGGAGGGTGCAGTTGCTGCTGCGGCTGCAATGGCGGGAAGTGAGCGGTGGGGATGAGGCTTAGTTGGTCATTTACGTTTACGTTTACGTACGAACGTGTACGGGTACGTACGTTTACGCGGCTGTTGGGTTGGAGGCCTAATGTACGGGCAGGAGAAAAAAATGCTGGGCTGCCCGAATATGTATATTTTTTATATAGTACTCCCTCGTAATCATGATTTCCATCATATAGTGTAAACATTCCATTACAACCTCGTAATTTCCCAAATAACAAAAATACCATCATGCGAAT